AAAAACCAAAAAAAAAACCCACTACAGAATATACCTAAGGAGGTGGAAGACCTCCACAATGAAAACTTTGAAACACAGAAGAAAGAAATCAAAGAAGACATTAGAAAATGGAAAGAACTCACTTGCTCATGGATTGAAAGAATTAATATTGTGGAAATGACTGAACTACCAATGAGATCCTCATCAAAGTTCCAACATCATTCTTCATCGAAATGGAAACAGATCTTAAAATTCATATGGAAACAAAAAAAGACCCTGACTTAGTTCCTTGTCCTATTTTTTGTGACAATATACCTGACTGCAGCAACTTAAGGAAGGAAGAGTTTATTGTGGCTCAGGGTTTAAGATTAGAACCCATCATGAGGGAAGTCACAGTGGCAAGCTGGTCACATTGTGTCCACAGTAAAGAAGCAGAAAGCAGGCCAGGAGGGCTCTGTAGGTAAAGGCACTTGGTGCCAAGCCTGAGGACCTGAATTCAATGCCCAAGATGCACATGGTAGGAGAGAACCAAGCCCTGTAAGTTTGTCCTCTGATCTCCACATGTGTGCTATGACGTGTGCACGCCCCTCCCCCCATATGTACACAATAAATAAACATAATTTACAATAAGTTTTTAAAAGAATCAAAGAACAGTGAGTGCCTGTCCTCAGCTTACTTTCTCCTTTCTGTTCAGTCCAGGACCTCAGTCCACAAGAACGGTGCCACCCACACTCAGTGGAGGTCTTCCTGCCTCATTTAACCTCATCTAGATAATCCCTCACAACCATACCTATAGGCTTGTCTCCTAAGTCATTTTAGATCTTGTCATATTAACAATTGTAATCATCACAGACATTCATTCAGCTTTTGAAGGTTCCACTCTTACGATCTATTCAGCTCCCAAAGGTTCTGTCTCTAATACCATCACTGTGGGGTTTGCACCTCAACGTGTGTGTTGGTGCAGGTCACCTTTCAGGCCACAGCAAGCTGCCCTAGTCCTGAACTTTCAAATTTGAGTTCATAGGAGAGATTTTGTGGTATTTTATCTGCTGAACTTTATTTTGGTGTTAGGTTTGAACCCAGGGCCTTGCACATGTTGGATTAGTGCTACACACTATGCTACCCTATCAGCACATGTTCTTTCTTCTTAAAAAATTAATATTTTTAAGACTTCTTGCTAGGTGAGGTGGCACACAACTTTAATCCCAGTACTCGGGAAGCAGAGGCAGGCCTGGTCTACATAGTGAGTTCCAGGCCAGCCAGGGCTACATAGAGAAATCCTGTCACCAACAAAAAATAAACTACAAAATCTTCTTAGCCTCGTGTGTGTGTGTGTTCGAGTATGCGCATTCATGCATGCATGGGCATGTCTATGTAGTACAGGCATATGACTGTAGGTGCTCTTCCCCTTACTTCCTTGCGACAAGGTCTCTGAGTGAACAGAAGTTCGCCATTTCAACAAGGCTGGCTGACTAGATAGCTCTTGGGCTCCACCTTTCTCTGACCCTCCATGTTGGGGCCCTAGGCACACACAGTCGTGTCTGGCTTTTTATCTGGGTGCTGGAGATTCAAACTCAGGATTTCACTCTTGCACAGTAAGTGCTCTTACCCACTGAGCTGTCTCCTGTCCCCATCCTTCTTCCTTTATCAGAACTGCCACTGCCACTAAAGAGTCCATTTGGATTATCAGGGTCTTCTGTCACTTAGATTAAAACTGGTCTATATTTAGACATCAGTTTTCATGTGTTCTATGAGATTAGGACCCTCTGTAGATTCTTTGCAAGGTCTGCCTTTTTGCCTCATTTGCCTTGAGGTTGGGGAACAGGCTTCCAGGAAACCAGCACCTGCGTAGCTCTTTTCTTAGAAGTCACCTTTATTTGTTTTAAGTAAATGTTTAAAAGAAATCTTTTGGGCTAGAGAAATGGCTTAGTGGTTTTAGAGCACTGGCTTCTCTTGCAGAGGAACTGGGTTCAATTCCCAGCACCCACATGGCAGCTAACAATTGTCTGTCACTCCAGTTCCAGGGGATACAACACCCTCATCTGCCTTCCACAAGCATTGCACAACATGGGTGCACTTACACACATGCAGGCAGTATACTCATACACATAAATAAAAATAATAAATAAAATTTTTAAAAAGAAACCCTTTTATTATTAGTCATGTGTTAGAATAATTTGTCAGTTTTAACTTTAAACTTACATTTTTTTCTTAATGACTTTACAGGTTGGAATTCGAGGTACTAATATAGTTGTACTTGGGGTGGAAAAAAAATCAGTTGCCAAGCTTCAAGATGAAAGAACTGTAAGGAAAATTTGTGCCCTTGATGACCATGTCTGCATGGCTTTTGCAGGTATGTACAGACAACACAGTTGGCCCTAATACTACCACAGTTGAGCTACATTTATAAGAATTTTTTAAAAATACAGTGTTACCTGTATTAAAAAGATTATCACAGGTCTATAAACTGGAATTTCTTTTTTGTTGTTGTTCTGTTTGAGACAGGGTCTTCCTATAGCCCTAGCTAGCCTGGAGCTTGCTATGTAAACCAGGCTGGCCTTGAACTCACAGAGATCTGCCTGCCTCACCACGCTCGGTTTAAAAGATTTATTTTTATTTTATGTATATGAGTGTTTTGACTGCATGTATGCACTGCATCTGCATGTAGTACCCACAAAGGCTGGGAGAGGGCATCAGATCCCTGGAACTGGACTTACAGACAGCTGTGAGCTGCCATGTGGGGGCTGAGTACTGAACCTGGGGCCTCTGCAAAAGTAGCAAGTGCTCTTAACCATCTCTCCAGCCTCCCTCTAATAATGATCTTTGATAATAAAGCATGAATGTTAAAAGTGGATTTCTCCTTATAATTTAGAGAACATTTTCTTTTTAAGTGTTGCATTTATTTTTGTTTTTATTAAGTGTACATGTGTATGAGTTTGTCCATGTGAGTGCAGTGCCTGTTGAGGCCAAAAGATGGTGTCAGATCCCCTGGATCTGGAGTTATAGGATGTTGTGAGCAGTTCAGCATGGGTGCTGGCAACTGAACTCAGGTGCTCTGCAAGAGTAGTATTTATTTTGGGGGCTGGAGAGATGGCTCAGCAGTTAAGAACACTGGCTACTCTTTCAGAAGACCTGGGTTCGGTTCCTAGCATCCATGTGGTGGCTAACAACCATCCAATGCCCTCTTCTGGCCTCCACAGGCATTTCACACTTGTGGTACACTTACATGCAGGCAACACACTCATACATGTGGAATAAAAATTTTTTTAATTTCTCTGGTGGGGTTGGGGATTTAGCTCAATGATAGACCACTTGCCTAGCAAGTGCAAGACCCTGATGTGCTGGATAGCTTTAGTGTCAACTTGACACACCTGGGTTGAGGGAGCCTCAGCTGGGGAATTGCCTCCATAGGACTGGCCTGTGGCCATGTCTGTGGAGCATCTTCTTTGTTGTTGTGTGATGTGGGAGGGCCCAGCCCACTGTGGGTGGTGCCACCCCTGGGCAGGGGGGCCTGTGTTGCATAAGAAAGCAGGCTGAGCAGGGGAGCAAACCAGTAAGCAGAGTTCCTCCATGGCCTGTGCCCAAGCTCCTGCCTCCAGGTTCCTGTCCAGAGTTTCTACCTTGGGCTCTCTGATGAACTGTGACCCAGGAGATGTAAGCTAAATAAACCCTTTCCTTCCCAAGTTGGTGTTGGTTCAGAGTGTTTTGTCACAGCAATGGAGAAACAAACTAGGACACCAGGATTCAGTCCTCAGATCTGGAAAAAAATTTCTCTGGTGAAAAAGGGGTTGCAAGTGAAAAAAGTTAGGAAGCCCTATGCTGGACAAGTACTCTAACACTAAGCCATAGTCTCAAGAGCTCGCCAGTTGTCTAGACTGGCTGGCCGGTGAGCTCCATGGCTCTGCTTGGCTCTGCTCCCTCCAGCGCTAGGGTTACAGAAGCTCCTGACCACGCTCAGCTTTTCTGTGGGTTCAAGGATCTGAACTCCTGCCCTCTTGCTTGTGCAGCAGGAGCTTTACAAAGTTAGCCAGCTCCCCAGCCCCTAAACCTGTTACAGAGTTACAAGTTACCAGAAACACAGAAGTTGCTTATGTTTGCCCAATTTTCCTCAGTGACAGCATCTTCTAAACCATCAAATCAGATTTCAGCAGTTCATGTGGACTCATTTGAATGTGTATCTGTTGGTGAGTAGTAGTATATTGTGTGAATGTACCACTGTTGTTGGCAGCTTGCACATTGAAGGAGATATGGCTTGGTGGTTAAGAGCACTAGCTATTTTTGCAGAAGACCCAGGTTTGAATCCCAGCACCCACATGGTGGCTAACATCCATCAGAAACTCCAGTTCCAGGGGACTCGACACCCTCTTCTGACCTCCTCAGGCATTGCACAACATGGGTGCACTTATATACATGCAGGCAATATACTCCTACACATAAAATTAAAATAATAAATAAAAATGGGACATTTCCAGTTTTTACCTATTTCAATAATGTGTGGACCTCTGTGCACAGGTTTTTGTGGGAACAAAGCATTTCATTTCTCTGGAGTAGATACTTTTAGTAGTTTCATTGTACTTATCATGTGTAGATTCATGGCCTTCCTGCAGTCATGGTACACAATTCTTTCATAAAAACAAGACTAACTCCTGCTATTCCTTTTCCTGCTCTCTAACCTCAGTCAGTCAGGTCTAGCCTGACACTAGTCTAGTCTCTGTTTCTATAATTTTGTCATTTTAGAAGGCTATCTGAATAAAATCTTGCATGGCTCCTTTTCAGATGATCCTTGTTCATCCAGCATGATTCCTTTGCAGTTCACACAAACTGTTGGATAGATCAGTAGTTCACCTCTTTTTTATTGTTGAGTGTGGTATAATTGTGCCACTATTGTTAATAGCTTGCCCACTGATATTTGGAGCTTTTCCATTTTTTGGGTAGATTTTTGTGGGAATATGGGCTTCATCTGCCGTACAGTGCAACTGCTAGATTGTATGTATGGTGATACACCTTCAGTGTTACAAAACTGCCAGATTATATTCCACAGTAGCTCTATTATTTTAATCCCTGCTGTCTGCTTATGCAGCTTACTTGGTATTGTTGCATATTCTGTGGTAGGCATTCTTCTAAGTATGTAGTGACATCTAACTGCGGGCCCAGCTGGTATATCCTCAAGGTTCATGATATCAAATATGTCTTCTTACTTATCTGCTGCTGTACATGGAGCGGGACATCTCATCACCATGTTTACTCCGTTTCTAACTATGTCTTTTTAAACTGGGATTTTTTTTTTTGCAGAGATTTTTAAAATTTTATTATTTTAATTTTATGTGTATGCGTGTATTGCCTGCATATAGGTAAGTGCACCCGTGTCGTGCAATGCCTGCGGAGGTCAGAAGAGGCTGTCGGATCCCCTGGGACTGGAGTTTCAGACAGTTGTCAGCAGCCATGTGGGTGCTGGGATTCGAACCCGGCTCTTCTGCAAGAACAACCAGTGTTCTTAACTGCTGAGCTACCTCTCCAGCCCCTAAACTTGGATTTTAAAAAAAATTTTATTTATTATTTTTATTTTTATGTGTATGAGTGTATGGCCTGCATGCATGTAAGTGCACCTGTGTTATACAATACCCATGGAGGTCAGAAGAGGGCATCAGATCCTCTGAAAATGGAATTACCAACAATTGTTAGCTGTTAGCTGCCATGTAAATGCTGGGAGTCAAATTTGGGTCCTCTGCAAGTGTAGCCAGTGCTCTTAACCTCTGAGGCATCTCTCCAGCCCCTAAACTGGGATTTTTTTAGTTGTGCTTTTTTTTTTTTTTTTTTTTGGTCTTTTTGAGACAGGGTCTCCCTGTAACCCCAGCTGTCCTGGAACTCACTATGTAGACCAGGCTGGCCTTGAACTCACAGAGATCCACCTGCTTCTGCCTCCCGAGTGCTGGGTAGTTGTGCTTTTTAAAACTGGGATTTTATATGGAAACTTAAAAAATAACTTTTGGCCTACTATCTTTTGTAATTGTCTTGCAACAAAACAAGTCTCAACAAATCTAAAAGGTTGAAATCATACAAAGCATCTTTTCTGATTAAAACAGAATAAAATTAGAAATCAATAGGCATGGGGAAACTTAAAATGGACATAAATGTGGAAATTAAACAATATAACCCCAAACTGCCATAAATCAAAGGGAAAAAAACACAAGTGAAATTAGTAAATATCTTGAGACAAAAATGAACACAGAACATATCAAAACTTATGGGATGTTGTTAAAAATAGTGTTTAGAGGAAAATTTATAGATGTAAACCTTAAGAAAAAAAACTCCTAATTCAGCAACTGACTATATTGCAACTCTAGAGGAGCAGAGTAATTCCAAGGCCTAAGATCAGAGCTGAGAGAAATAAGAGAACAGAAAAAGAAGAGAAATTGAAAGTTTGTTCTTTGAAAAAGTGAACTAAAAGAAAAAAAGGAAAAAAACTCTTGACTTAAAATTAGAAATGAAAAAAGGAGGCATTACTACCATTTTCACAGAAAATATAAAGGATTTTAAGAAAGTATATGTACCATTATGTGCCAACAATATTCCTTGAAACACACAAATTACCTACTTATTCAACAAGACACAGATCTCAGCAGATGTCACAATGGCATAGAATTAGTTTTCACATTAATAGAAAATCAGTATTGAAGGGAAAACCGTGTGATTATGTCAACTGACAGAGACAGCTGCATTCAATGTAATTCAATACTCTTTCTTGGTTAAAGACAAACTCAACAAATAAGAAATTCTACCTCAGTATAATTAAGACTATGAAAAACTCAGAGCTGATGTATTTGTTGGTGTACTGAAAGCTTTGCCTCTGGAATCAGGAAGAGATGCCTGCTTTACCACTGCTAAATATTAATGTATGCTCTATCCAGAGTAATCCAGGCAATGAAAGACATAAAGCACACTCCAGTTGCAAAGGAATAAATAAAAATGATCTCTGATCATAGATAACATGAATGCATATATTGAAAACCTATAAATGCCATAGGAATTGTTAGAAAAACTAAATGAGTCGGGCATAGTGGAACATGCCTTTAATTACAGCACGTGGAAGGCAAAGGCAGGCAGATCTCTGTGAGTTCATGCCCAGCCTGGTCTACATAGTGAGTTCCAGGTCTGCCAGGGTTACATACTGATACCATGTCTCAAAAAGCAAAACTGAAAACTAATTAAATGAATTGAACTAATATCTGGGGTAAGATGGCAGGTTAGAAACTCCCTGTGTGACTCCATAAAAGAGAGGAGTCAGGGTTATAAAAGACTTCATTCAGAGGAGAGGAAGAACATCAGGACATAAAAGAGGTGCTAAGACCTCAGGGAACACAGGAAACAGCCTGTTGTCTAGCCCAGCTACTGGAGGTAGGGGACGCCAAAGCCACAGTTTTGTGTGGAAACTGTGTCCATGTTTTAGCCATAGAATGAGCACACAGTTTCCACAACTACAAGTCTTTTTTTTTTTTTTTTTTTTTTTTTGGCCTTTTTGAGACAGGGTCTCCCTGTAGCCTCCACTGCCTAGAGGTCACTCGCTATATAGACCAGACTGGCTTTGAACTCACAGAGATCTGCCTGCCTCTGTCTCCCAAGTGCTGGGATTAAAGGTGTGTGCTGCCATACCTGGTAGTTTCCACAAGTCTTAAAAAAATAGGGATTTAGTGTGACACCTGTGTGGCATAGAAGCATTGAAGTAGTCAATTTTCTCATGCCTGCACAGCAGACACTCACCTGCTGAGCCATCTCCATACCCCCACTCTGTTTTCAACTTTGGTGTTTGTCTAGTTGTGGATCATACACTGTAAAGAGGAAATGCTTTGAATGCATTTCTGATTGCATTATTTTATGTGTGTGAGTATGTTGCCTGGATGTGTGTGAGTGCACCCGTTGTGCAGTGCAACAGAGGTCAGAAGAGAACATTGGATTCCCTAAGACCTAGAGCTAAAGACAGTTTGTAGCCACCATGTAGGTGCTAGGAATCGAACCTGGGTCCTCTGCCAGAGCAGTCAGTGCTCTTAACCACTGAGCCATCTCTCAAGCCCGAGTTCTGATTGTTTTTACAGGACTGACTGCTGATGCTAGAGCTGTGATAAACAGAGCCCGGGTGGAGTGCCAGAGCCATAAGCTTACGGTTGAAGATCCAGTCACTGTGGAATATATAACTCGCTTCATAGCAACCTTAAAGCAGGTGAGCTGATACTCTTAGCATATTTATTTCTTCAAGTTGAATCTTTTCCATTGTTACAGGTTCTGTTGTAGAAATTCTACAGTCATTCTAAGCATTTAGTCTATGAAATTCCTTATTTACTCCTAGAATTACTTCTTACACTTATTCAGGTCGAATGGGTTATATTAAGTACTAGAAATCAAAATTATTTTCAATTCTGGAAATTATACAAAATTTAAAAGTAGAAAGTCTGATCTTCAAAGGAAATTTCTATACTTATGGAGCTACAGTAATATCTATTCCTTAAAGTTTTCCCCAAAAATGCTGCTTATTTCACCTACAAACCTAAATATTTCTGATCAGGTTTAGTTTCTTCTGGACACTTGGTGAGCCCTCAGCTAAAACCCTCAGGAACACGTGCTGTTTCTTGGCTTGCTTTAGCCTGTGCTCTGTCTGGCCACACCTCCCCAGGCTCTGGCCACACCTCCTCTGGCTCTGGCCACACCTCCTCAGCTTTTTTGCTAACTGAAATGGTAGAATAGTGACTTGAGAGTTTACATCACTTCCAGTCTCTTCATATTTATTCTCATTCTCTCTGCTCCCCTAATAACATTGTTTTATTGTGGTTATGGTTTTTTCTTTTCTCTTTAAATTGTATTGTTAAATTAATTTTTAGTAAGGGATTACTAGATTACAGATTATAATTGATTTTGTGGCTCTTGTTATATGTGTCAAATTGCTCCCTAGAAAGATTGATCTAATTTTTATTGTGTAGCTAGCCGACCCGAAGGAATCATTAACATTGAGTTTTTCATTTTTCTTTGTTTTGCAACTAAGTACTGTGTAGTACTGTAATAGTTGTTTTAACTTGTGTTTTATGATTAGTGAAATTGAATTTTCCCACATGTTATTTTCATTCCTACCAGTCTAAACTGTCTTTTAACAGGAACTTTTTGTTTTTTATCATTTAGCCTTGGTTGAATTGGATACTCAGTTCACAGATTTATTTGAATTTATGTACCCTTTAAAATTGTTTTTTTTTTTTTTTTGGTTTTTTTGAGACAGGGTCTCCCTGTAGCCCCAGCTGTCCTGGAACTCACTATGTAAACTAGGCTGGCCTTGAACTCACAGAGATCAGTCCCGAGTGCTGGGATTAAAGGCATGCACCACCAGGCCTGGCTAAAATTGTTTTATTATTTGTTGATTGGAGGAGGGGGGCGTGTGTCACAGCTAATGTGTGGAGGTTAGAGGACAAAGGAGTTCTTTTGCCAGGTGGGTCCCAGAAATCAAAAGGCAGCAAGTGCCTTTACCTGCTGAGCCATCTCACCAGCCCTATGTTCTCTTTTGCAAAGATTTTTTTTTTTTTTAGTTTTTAGAGATCTTATTAGTACATAAAGTTTAATGGGCATATTCCCCATATTCCCCATATCCCCCATATCCCCCATGTGCCCCATATTCCCCCATATTCCCTACCCTCCCTCTTTTTCAGCTCCTCTCTTTAGTCCTCTCTGTCCCCCTAGGCAGCTTTACTTCTACTTTGCATATATACATGCCTTATAGAGATTATAAGAATCCAAAATGAGACACACAACATTTGTCTTTTGGGAACTGACTTAATTCACTTAATAACATGGTCTCCTATCGTGCCTATTTTCCTACAAACAACATAACTTCAATCAGTCTTCATGGTTAAAAACATTTCCATGGTGTACATAAACCATATTTTCTTCATCCAGCCCTCTATTGACAGGCAATTTGTAAAGAGTGTTTGCAAGAGCCAGAATTTTGAGGCTTGAATTTAGGCCTTTCTGGTTCTTAGTGCCTTTGAGAAAACTGTTTTCTAATTCAGTTTTCCTACACAGAAAGGAGAGTTACAGTGCCACTTACTTTGTTGGGTTGCATTGCAGGTTAAATAGTTTTACTGTGTTTCGGGCTCAGAGAGCATTCTCCGGCAAGGCAGTTACCACAGATGCCAGGAGGAGATTTTCCATAAACTCTTTGAATATCCTAGATACCAAAGCTTTAAGATATTGAGCTATAGAAAAGTCACCCCGCTTTGCTTTTTGAAAGCTTGTTACTTCATATTGGAAGAAATTCCAACATTTTCATATTGCTCTACTTCTCTATTTTGTTTCAATTTTCCCAGTTGTTAATCAAGGCATTCACCAAAAAGCAGGACACAGAATAGCATATACATAAGGTTTGTCATTGTGGCTTTTAAGGTCTCTCCAAGAGCTATCAAGGCTGTGCATAGATTATAGAAACATAGTTGTAAGTCTGGGACAAAGAGGTTGCCATGAGAGGCCCGGGGCGCTAGGACAGGATGCCGCATGTACACCTCACATATTTAGCTTTATGCTATATTACTTTTCCACTAAAAAAAAAAAAAGATTGAGCAAGTAAAGTAAATAGGTTTCTCCTCTGAGATCCATGTATACTGCTTTGCATCTGTGTCATACCTAGAAGCATTAGAAAGTACAGAGGAGTGAAGACAGAACCCTACTTTTTAAAGAGGATATTTATGTGCCTAGCCCAGTTGTTTGCATTCAAAGTTGCACTGGCTTGTAAAACATCATGAAATACAATAAAATTGAAAAATGAGAAAATAGCTCCCATATGTAGACAAGACCAGAAGAAAACCACTATAAAGCTATTTCAACCCATAGAATTATATACAGAGCCGTATCCAGCCAGACTTACGGTTCTATAAAGTTACCTACATATTCAGTCCTTAGCTTTCTGTCAAGGCTGCGTCTTCGGACGGCTTGTAGGAGCACCGGTCTCAGTGAGAATGCCACTCCTTAGAGCACAAATCCAGGAAGCTCCCTGACACAAAACTAATAAGAAATATAATTAGTTTCAGTGCCCCATTGTCTGTGAGAAAAATGCATGCTTTTTCTTCAAGAGAAACAAAGGATCCCTTTTCTTGGGACTGAAAGAAATGTTTCATTTGGGTTTTTAAGTAGAGATAACCTAGTATACAGTGACCAGAACATATGCGATAGCAGTGTTATCAAGCAGGAGTCCAGCTGATGGGAGTAACAATCACAGTGTTTCTCAAGGCAAACTGAGGGTGCGTTTCCAAAGCACAGCTCATTGAATCAGGGTGCTGGGAACCAAATGCGTGCAGTCCTCCTCCATGTTAAAGAGACTGTACGCATAGCAAGCAGAGCATGCTTTAAGATATAGATGGGGAGGGGGCTGGAGAGATGGCTTAGCAGTTAAGAGCACGGGCTGCTCTTGCAGAAGACCTGGGTTCGATTCCCAGCACCCACAACAGTGGCTAACAACCATCCTTAACTCCAGTTCCAGGGGAATCTGATGCCCTCTTCTGAACTCCGTGGGCAAACAACACAGGTGCACTTATATACATACAGGCAATACTCTCAGACACATAAAATGAAAAATAATAGCCAGGCGTGGTGTACATGCCTTTAATCCCAGCACTTAGGAAGCAGAGGCAGGCAGATCTCTGTGAATTTGAGGCCAGCCTGGTCTACTGAGTGAGTTCCAGACCAGCTGGGGCTACATGGCAAGAAGTGGGAGGGAGAAAGAAAGGGCCATGAGGGCTGTGGATTTCATTGAAAGAGGGGGATGGTTACACCAGTATGCTAACATATGTGTAAAAAAATGTCATAATGACACACATTACTGGTATGCTAACTTAAATTTTTAATTTAAAAATGGGAAAAAAGTTGAGTAGAAACCTTCTAAGAAAAATAAGATATATAAGCAAAGTTATGATTTTATTTTACAGAGTATATAATTATTTTCTTAAGAATTTATGAATTAGCTGGGTGTGGTGGCACACACCTTTGATCCCAGCATTTGAGAGGCAGAGGCAGATGGATCTCTGTGAGTTCAAGGCCAGCCTGGTCTACCTAGTGAATTCTAAGACAGCTGGAGCTACAGGGAGACCCTGTCTCAAAAAAAAGAAAAAAAAAAAGAATTTAGTGAATTAAGATTAGTCAGGAAAGGATGCTAAAAATGTGTGGAATAAGAATCAGAAAAGTAGATTATTTATTAGATTTTTTTCTGGTCTTTTTGAGACAAGGGTCTCCCTGTAGCCCCAGTGGCCTGGCACTCACTATGTAGACCAGGCTGGCTTTGATCTCACAGAGATCCGCCTGCCTCTGCCTCCTGAGTGCTGGGACTAAAGGCATGCGCCACCACGCCTGGCTCCTAGAATTTTATTTTGTAAGTAGTAGTGTTATAGTAAAAATAAACTTTATTTTTCAGAAATACACCCAGAGCAATGGGCGGAGACCTTTTGGTATTTCAGCCTTAATTGTAGGTTTTGATGATGATGGCATCCCAAGATTATATCAGACTGACCCCTCTGGTACTTACCATGCTTGGAAGGTGAGTAATGAATTAAAACATGTTTTGGGTAGAATCTGGACAAAAGCATTCAATGTAAATGCTTTATTACTTTCAGGGACATGACAAAATTATGTTGCATTAAAATATTGATGGTGGCACTGACTATGAATTATAGCCGTTTAGCTTGTCAGAAATGATGGTTTTGGATAGTAAAACACCTGCATTCAAGATAACCATTACTGAGGAAGCTGAGGCAAGACAACTGATAGGAATTTAAGGATAGCCTGGGCTACATAATGAGATTAGCTAGCCTGAAAATGAGTGAGCAAAAATATCTCTTTGGAGTTTGGGTTTCATTATGGTATTTTTTTTTTCTTTTTCTTTCTTTCTTTCTTTCTTTCTTTCTTTCTTTCTTTCTTTCTTTCTTTCTTTCTTTCTTTCTTTCTTTCTTTCTTTCTTTCTTTCTTTCTTTCTTTCTTTCTTTCTTTCTTTTTTTTTTTTGGTCTTTTTGAGACAGGGTCTCCCTTGTAGCCCCAGCTGACCTGGAACTCACTATGTACCTGGCCTTGAACTCACACAGAATCCACTTGCCTTTGCCTCCACCTCCCAAGTTCTGGGATTAAAGGCATGCTCCACCACACCCGGCTCATTATGGTGTTTTCATACATACACATCCATATACACATCTTTGGACTTTGTTTATAGTCACTTTCCTATTACCTTCCCTTTTTTCCCTGTCTCCTCCAATTGTATATGAGACAGAGAGAGAGAGAGAGAGAGAGAGAGAGAGAGAGAGAGAGA